TTTCGATTCAGCTCTAATAAGCCTTTCATATGTTACATCAAATTGACTAAAAATAGTAATACGCCTAGATATCATGTCTATAGGGATCTAACTTGTAATTTTGTCTGGTAATTCTAATTAGCCCAATAGATCAATTTCATTTCACCTTGTTTGTTTTTTAAAAATAGTTTTAATAAGTGTCAACATTTCCTAAAACTAGTTCCGTCAAAATGGTTTTAATCTCATTAGATATCCTGCCTATAGGTATTAAAAGGGTCTATCTCGAAAACTTGTTTGTTTCTGCATCAACATAGATACAGTACTGCATATAGACAAGCCTTAAGGCATTTTCAAAACCTGCATTTATTTGAAGTTGTTTCTGTCGACATTTTTTATTCTAATAAGCTTTTAAAGAAGAGGTCTTAGGCAACTAATAGGTTATGACTTCTGTATCTGAAAGTAGTTTATTTCTGCATGATCACTTAGAAATCCTACTTTAGGACTTTGATTACTAAAGACCTTACTTGTGGTTGAGTCGTGCTGCATGTATGCTTGTTTGCGGAGGAAACTATGACCCTTTTAATTGCTTCATTTATGTGAAGTCCTAAATGTTTTTTTTGATTGTCGCCTTAGATTTTTGCCTTTAAAACCTTAGGGGTACGTCTAGAACCACCTATAGGTAGAGGTCCTAACTCCCTCCGGGACTATTAAGAAGGGGCGGGTAGCAGCAAGCAATAGGAATCAGTGACCAACACTCGCTATGCATGACCAATAAGGGGATGAGAAGGGTAAACATGGGATACGATGACTATGCGCTTATGTCACGTGTAGCCCCTCATTGAGGAGTGTTTATCGTACATTGTGTGGGGTGATCCTATAGGATAAACAACCTAGGACCCCTCCTTACCCCAAATTCTTTCCTTACTTAACACCTTGTTTTTGTATAATTTGTTCAAACCTTTATTTCACTACTTGAATTGTTTAATGGGCTTTACAACTTATTTGATTCAACTATTTGTAGGGACAAATTTGTAAATGTAAGTTCGGTTGGGACGCACAGTTGTGAACAAGAGGGGTGCCTAACACCTTCTCTTCGAGGTTATGTCGAGCCCTTACCCTAATCTCTGGTAACGCAAACCAACTTAAGAGTTAATAACTCTAGGTGTCCTAACGCACCATAATTTTTTAGGTGGCGACTCTTCAAATTCCCAATTCACAAGAGGAAATGAGTAATTACACCCCATGAATGTCGAAACCCGGACTTCTTCCCGCATAGGGAAAGGAAAAAAAGGGGGCACGACAGGGCCCGGAGGTCGGGTTTTGACCAATTTAGGGATTTTTATGTAATTTGATTATTTTCGAGTGGGCTTTGTTCTCTTAGCATATTTTGATGGTTATATACTAATTTTGATTAGATTTGGAGCATCGGGGCCGATTCGAGAGGCAAAGGCATTGCGAGCTAGAGTTTTGACCGGATAGAGGTAAGTAATGATTGTAAATGTTGTCCTGAGGGTATGAAACCCCAGATTTCACATCGTTGTGCTACTTTGAGGTGACGCACATGCTAGATGACTAGCGTTGGGTCATGAACCGTTGGGGATTGTGACTTAGTCCGTCCCGTATGACTGTTTAAACGCGTGTTTGATTGAAAACTGTTTGTTATCATCATATTTTGGGTTGAATGCCATGTTTGGACCTAGTGCCAATTGTTTTGGACCCTTAAGGAATTGTTACCACTATTCCTCACTACTTTGACTTCATATTTGTACTCAGTCATGTTGTATTCTACTATTTTCATAACTCAGCCATATTTACTCCGTTTTGACATATTGAATGATATTTTGGGCTGAGCATCATATTTTTACTGTGCCCGGGTGGCTTTGAGAGATTTCTGACTGAGTAAGGCCGATGGCCTGTGTTGTGAGGATACTATGGGATCAGGCTGTGCTCCGCAACAGTGTTAAACTGATTCATGATTATGAGTCCGAGGGCCCGATTTGTTATGCCACAAAGTGATTTGTTATAAGGCCGAGTGCCTGTTTAATTATGCCACCTTTTTAATTATGCCACGAGATGGCTTGATATTGCTCTTGGGCTATAAGGAGCCCCTCCCAAAGTCTGTACACCCCCGTGAGCGCGGGTACCCAGTGTGAGATGTGATATAGCCCGAGGGGCTAATACGAGTGGTTGTGAGATAGCTTGAGGGGCTGGTTCTGTTGGTATATTGGCCGAGGGGCTGATTTATGTTTCCATCTTTCCTCCATGTTTTCTCCACTCGTTTGGACTGCTAAAAGATGTTTTAAAGAGGTTTTTATTGAACTAAGGTGTTTTTACGAGCTTTTACTATTTTATTGCATTGTTCTGGTTTATACTGCCTCGTTGTAGCATTTTATTGTGCTTTACGTGTTTTCATATCGCTCAGCTGCCTTTACTTTTATTACTAACTGAGTTGGCGTACTTACATTACTTCCTTCACCCTATGTGCATATCCAAGAGTCTCGGGTCATGCTAGCGAGGGCTTATTGCTTTCCAGCAGGCTATTCGGAGTTGACTAGGTAGCTGCTCGGCATTCGCAGCCCAGTGCTTCTCCTTCCTACGTTTACTTTCCTTTGTACTAGCTTTGTACTAGATTGTGTAGTCTTTTCATACTCTTATACGGATTTTTAGATGCTCATGACTGGTGACACCCCGATGTCGTGCTGTGTTGTTTCTGCTTTATTCTATTCTACTCTTTATTTTGGGATTTATAGTTTATTTATGACTTAAAATAAATTACTATAACTGCCTTAATTGGTCTGGGGGTTTGTGTTGGTTGGCCTTGTTCCATGAGAGGCGCCATCACGACCGGGTCCGGTTTAGGTCGTGACAAGTTGGTATCAAAGCCTAGGTTACATAGGTCTCACGAGTCATGAGCAGGTTTACTAGAGTCTCGCAGATCGGTATGGAGACGTCTGTATTTATCCTCGGGAGGTTGCAGAACCTTGAGGAAAACTTCATATTCTTGAAATTCTTGTCATGCGAATCTGTTGATCCGAGTACTAAACTTCTGTTATTCTATTCTCTCACAGATGGTGAGGACACATGCTACCGGTCAGGATGGACGACCACCAATACCACCAGCTAGGACCACTAGAGGTCGAGGACACGGTCGAGGCCGTGGTAGGGGCAAAGGTCTAGCCCGCACAGCAGCTAGGGCAGCACCTGCAGATCCACCAGCTGCCCTAGTTCATGATCAGGTCCCAGCTGTGGACGCTCCAACATCACCAACTCAGGCACCAGCTATGCCCATTGTGATTCCGGGTCTTCAGGAGGCCCTGGTCTAGCTCAGCTGCAGCTACTTCTCAGGCCGGGGGAGGCACTCAGACTCCCGTCGCTCGCACACCTGAGAAGGTCATGCAGGTACTTCAAATACCGGGGGGCACCTCCAGCCTAGCCGGTTGCAGCTGTTCAGGGCTATGTAGCTCTTGTTATGCTAGAGGACGAGCAACATAGGTTGGAGAGGATTGGTAGACTTCAGCCTCCGACTTTTAGTGCTACAGAGGGAGAGGATGCCCAAGGTTTCTTGGACAAGTGTTAAAGGATTATTTGCACAGCGGGTATTTTGGAGACCAGCGGGGTCACTTTCACAACTTTTCAGTTTTCTGGAGCTACCTTCACTTAGTGTGGGAGGCTTATGAGAGGCGTAGTCCTATTGGTGTAGCACCCCTTACCTGGAAGCAGTTCTCCGTTCTCTTTTTGGAGAAGTAAGTGCCGCAATCTCATGGAGAGGAGCTGTGCAGGCAACTCGAGCAGTTGCGCCAGGGAGATATGACCATGACACAGTATGAGATGAGGTTCTCAGAGTTAGATCGTCATGCTTTTTGATTGGTTCCTACGGAGAGGGATAGGATTATGAGGTTTGTTGATGGCGTCACATATCAGCTTCGTATTCTCATGACCAGGGAGAGGGTGTCTGGTGCTACTTTTGAGAAGTTTGTTGACATTTCTCGCGAGATTGAGTCAGTTCGTCGCCAGGAGCGAGATGAGAGGCAGGCCAAGAGGCCTCGGGGATCTGGTAGTTATGGCGGTGCTCCTTCGAGAGGTCAGTTTCAGCATGGTAGAGGCCGTCCGTTCAAACATGCTGAGTCAGCTCGCCCAGGTTATCGTGGGGCATCATCGGGTCATGGTTCTCATAGTGCTCATCAGGGCCATTCATCACCAGTGCCCTTCTGGCCCAGAGTTCATCCCATGCTCCATTAGTTCAGGGCTCTTCTATGCCAGGTGCATCTACTAGTCATTCTGGTGCTTGGGGTTCCATTCAGTCCCCATCTCCAGCACCAGGGAGTTGTTATGAGTGTGGAGAGTTGGGCCACATGTAGAGGCAGTGTCCTCATCGTCTTGGGGGTTCGTCTCAACAGAGGAGTCACACTACAAGAAAATCTGCCTTTAAGGAAGGGAATTCTAGTGTCTAAAGATTGAAATCTGGTCCTAAAAGGGTAAATTATGAAGGGAAACGGCTGGTCGTAACCCGTCGTAATAGCCTCCGACACTAAATGTCAATAACGACGGGTCTTGATACCTGGTCGTTAAATCACTTTAGCGACGGACAAAAAATTCGGCCGTTAAATACTTTTAAAGACTACATTTCTCGTCCCTAATAGATGATAAAAAAATATATATTCCCGTCATGAAATCATTGTAGCGACCAACTGTAACTGGTCCTAAATTATCTTTTAGAGACAGACAAAAAACTTGGTCGTGAATAACTTTTAGAGATTACATTTCTCGTCCCTAATAGACGATAAAAAATTTATATTTCCATCGTTAAATCGTTTTAGCGACTAACTGTAACTGGTCGTAAATTATCTTTTAGAGACGAAACAAAAAACTTGGTCATCATTCCTATCGTTACCATTTTCGTGACCAACCTTTAACTGGTCCTAGATTATGTTTAGAGACGACGTCACTATTTAAAATAATTTTATAATTTAGCGATTGTATTCATGGTCTCTTAATAACAATGAGTAGTCCTAAAAGCTTAATGCCACAAAAAGTAATTTTTATCAATCAATATCAAATTGTTATTGGAAAGTCTAGATATAAAAAGATAAGATATCAAGTTCAAATCCCATGATGATGTTACTTTCTATGTTTTCTCAACACCTCAACAAAAAAAACTTAGCTATCATCCTGAGCTAGACTATGATATCAAGTTTTCCATAACATTTTTAGGAAAATAATAATGAGCTTGTACATCTTCTAAACTTGAATCTTGACTTGTAGCTTCAGTCTTCAAAACCTGTAAGTACAAAAGATTGAAAAAATGATATATAACTATTGGTAAAATAACATATATAATTTTAAATGAGCAATAGTTAAATTGCTTACCCCAAAAGCAGTCAAAATTCACCAGGTGATATCCACCAACATCAACAAGGCTATAAGAATATAAGAAAAATTAATTAGAAAAGGTTTGGGATGGTTAATCTTACTTTGGTTCGATAAATCCCGGTACGATAATTCGAGATTTGCCATTCAAGATACCAACTATTTTGAGTAGACAACAACATCACTAGGCTAATTTCTAGCTTGGCAAAAGAAACCTATGATGTAGGGGCGATCGCGGACTTTATTGTTGAGATTGAGAGCGACAACTATAACCTACAAGTGGCTAAGGTGTAATAAAAGCTATGAAATACTTCCGACAAACACAGGGAGAATAGAATGTTGGCAGATCATCTAAGCTTTAACGACAGAAAAGTCATTTATTCAATCACACGTTCTACGTTTATACCAGGCCAAAACTAATTGACACAGAGAGCCATTGTTCACATAATTCAAATGATTATTAAACCAACATGGCTGACATGAAAGAGTAAAGATACAGAGTGTTTCAAAAGAATAAACTTTTGCTGGTTAAAAAAAGCATAATTCAGGTAAACACATAAATTATAAAGAGGCAAAAGGATAGGAAAATCATGTTTAAAAATGCACAGAAAGGCCAACAATTCTTTTACTTCAGTGTTTGAGAAATTTCAGGACCCAAACTACTAATGACATATATCAAGAGACAGATCCCTAGGAACATAACAGTCTTGGGTACACAACTACATGTGTTTATAACTTATCGGGTGGGACTCTATATGACGCGTTATATAAACTTGGTATTTTTAATCATAAGAGAACCATATCATCTACTTTTATTGAGCACAAACATCATCTACTTTTCCAGCTAACAACTTCTCAAATTCCTACCACACATTCCTGATTTGCTTAAAGATTGAAATTCCATAGGAAGCTATGACTACTTACTGCACCATTGTACATTAATTAAATTGTTCTCCTTTTAGAAGAGTGAAGTCAAACAAATCTATAATATAAAAACTGACTATACACAAATCATGAATAAAAATTAAAAAGTTGGGTATATTGTTACTAACCTGGTCAGCAGATAAAAACAGTGGTCATTCAGTTGAAACGGGCGATGTCATCGTAAGCGGGACATATGATTGTTGAGCAGCAAAGTACTCTCTTATTTTCCTCATTTCTTTTATCTCATCTTCTAAGGTAGACAAGCGCTCATTCAAGGATTTGTTTCATTCATTCAAAGATTTGTTTTTTTTCGAGTTGAACGTAGTGCGAACAGTAATTGAAGAAGTTCCACCTTTCAAGTCTTTCGCCTTGACTCTACCCCCAAATCCAAACACATGGCTATGAGTTTGAGGTCCACAACATTTTTCTACAATCTCTATGCTAGGTAGAGATGAATCTGCTTGAACTATTTCTTCTATTTGAGCCTACAAAATATATAAAAAGAATATTTAAAATCAGAATCCACCATAATTTCAAGTAATTTACATATTCAATTTACCAAACATACATGTTTTTCAATTGCTTCAGGTTCAACAAGCTTGTTATCTTTTTTACGGGTTTCAAAGAAAATTGTTGCCAAATCGGGTGGGTTGCCATCTTTTCCGCCCTTTACATCAAAGGCAAACATGTCAAATAACAGCTCGTAAATATTTTTCTTAGGAAAATATAAATTTATAATAATACCTTTTGATAAATGATCTCATTAATAGGCTTGCTACTAATATGATGAAGCATCTTCAACTTAACTCGATTTGCCGCATACCTGTTGCTTCTCGCCTATATTTGTGAAACATTAAGATTAAATGTAAGACATTTAATAAACTTAAATAATAAGTTGAGCTTCTAAAAATCTTCAAAATAAACTTAATGTTCCAACATACAATATATACTTGAACACTTGGCCTCAAGGAATATGAAGGCAAAAGCACAGAGATAGGTCATGCCAAACTATAAGGTTCACTAGAGATGGAACTATAAGGTTCACTAGAGATACAGTACAAAGGTCCATAAATCAAGGCTATTCCAGATGTACTTGCAAGAAACTCAACTGCTCAAGTCAGATTTAACAGTCATGCTGCAAATATGTTATTAGAGTATATTTTTGCATAGATATGTCTCTACCAGAGGAGTTGAGAGCTACGTCAGAAAACTTCCAATGAATATATTTCTCTCCATTTATAACTTACAGCATTAAATCACTCTTTCCACCGATTTTCATACCAACGAGAGTTTTAGCACATATATGTAACTGTTGGCAAAATAGCTATATGATCAAGATGCAACAAACACATGGGAAAATCGAGAACAATGTGTTTTTGAGATCTCTCTTGAATCACATCACATACTTTTAGTGGGGTTGGTTTCCACTTTCCAGTAAAGTTATTATCTGTCGGTATGTCCTAATAAATCAGTAGTATAAATTTTCAATAGAACTATGAACAGAAGTTTGGATTAGATAAGTCACACAACCAAAATTTAGGCCTCTATTCCAATTTTTACATATTAGCTGCTAGAGACAATACTATAGTCTTTTTGCATATTTAGTAATAACAATTTTTTTGTGACTACTTTTTATTTACCAAAGAGTAAAGATAAAGTTCAATTTTCACAATTACTGATAATTCATGTTTTATTTTCTTTTACAGAATCAAGATGTTGTAGAGTAAAAGAGGATTTACTAATCTCTTTTGAATTCTCAGTTCTCTCTTGAAACACCATAGCTTACTTTTGTTGGGGTCTACCAAAATTCTTCCTTCAACTTTAGATCAATAAAATGAATTCGAACTTCTACTCCGGGCAACATAAATATCAGCTCTATTAAGTTATACTAGTACTTATTTCTGAAGTTATTTGCCGCAAAAGAAAGTTTGTAAAATGAGTTCTCCATGACTAATATCAGCTCTATGAGTTGTCATGGAAACATTTGTGGGTGCTGTCTAGATTACTATTATAAGATATTTCATTATTTTCTTTCTTCCCCTCTCCTAGTTTTCTTAAGTTGATGGATAACGAGTCAGAAAGGGGTATTCAGCCGCTAGTCATCTTTTCAATTGAATGCGGTCTGGAGTTATAGACTGATTACTTCTATGATTCAGTAACTTAAGTCAGTTCCTTCCAATGGTTTATAACCTCTTTTACTGTACCAAAAGGAAAATAAAGGTGAAAGAAAAATTAGCTGAAACACACCAATTTGTAATATTAATACATGTTCTTCAATCCAACTTTAACCACTTGAATTACCATATTCGAATTCATTCTGTTGATCTATGATTTTTAATAGTTTCATCGTAGTTCTAACTTTTCTATTTCCCCTGTTCTGGTGCATGAGTCGTGATTTTTAAGCTGAAACTACACATCCAAACACATAATTCGATAACTTAAATAAGTGAAACTTAGACGAGAGTTCATGTCAGCCATCATGTATATCTGAAATGATCCATACATAAGCTCTTGAAACATCAACTTTTCAGCTGAAGTGTTAGGGAGGGAAATCAGGGTGCAGATGCTTTAGCGAAATAGATTATTAAATCACTAGGCATACCTGAAAATTTTTTGAATAACAATGTTCCTTTAATAACCACTCCCATTCTTTCTTGTCTACTCCTTTTGGAATATTCTTAAGAACCTATTGAATTGGCTTATCCTTCACATATTTGCATGCAAGTGTCCTCTCCATTTGTTCCATAACTCTTCCATCCATGTGAAGATATGATCACGATGACCATTCATGTCAACACTCTCAAATTTATCCTATAACAATCAAAACTTGGTTGAGTTAATGAATTAGTTTAGTTTTAGTAACTACTCATAATCATGTGTTAGGAGCAACTCTCCCGTAGTTATGCAACAATTAACATATAATATAGTTTCAACTGTTATTTCAAACTCTACAGCAATTAACAATTGAATCAGTTAATATTCTCCAAAAGTTATACAGATAAGCACAAGCATGAAAGATGAAAGCATACTGGGCATAGTTTCCCTCAGTGTCCAGTTGATCAGTACACTATACATCCATATGAATACCTCAATACACACTTCACATATATAGGTGTTAGAGATAGCTATGTAATTGTCCCACATTGGAATAAGAGTAGTATCCCCTTTGTATAAAGTAGCTATAAATAGCACCCCTTGTATTGCATCACACACAATATCAATATATCATATTTTCTCCCGTGCCTTCTTACATGGTATCAGAGCTATCGTGGGAGATTTATCGCTGTGCATAAATTTCAGCGATTTCGGGAAGTAAAATCAGTCATCGGAACCCTTTTTTCCGGCGAATTTCAAAGTTGTTTTGCGTCTGCTTTGTCTCGGTTAGTGTTGTGCACAAAATCCAATACTACCACAAGAGTAGTCACTGTCCGGCAACCAAATCCCAGTGAAAATCTCTGGCAGTACTGTAGTTGTCCAAAGAAAATTTTCCGGCGAAGTTCCAATGTTGCGTGGGCCACCTTCCGGCCATTGTTTGGCGACGACTCTTCAGGACAGATTGTTTCCCTTACAATTCCGAGCCTACCCATCCAGGTTACACCAAATTCCGACCACTTTTTTATTTTTCCGGCGTGAATAGTGATTTCAAAAAGTTGACTTCCGGACATTTTTTGAAAAAGTTCCTTTAGAACAGTTGGGTCTTCTGGTAATTTTGATCCTACCCCTACTGTTTTTATTTCATTCCGACCACTTTGAATATTTTCCGGCTGCAACAGTAATTTTCCAACTGCAACCGTAGTTTACTATTCTGGTTCAGTGTTCCTTACTCTATTTTCAGTGGATTACAGTTGATTATTTCTCTTATTTGGTAATAATTTACAAGATGTCTTTGGGAATTGATGTTTTTGGGTCTAAAAGCATGAGTTCTGGAAACTCTAATGTTATGATTACCTCGGAACCTTTAATGGGAGGTTCAAACTACTTATCTTGGGCTTCATCTATCGAGTTGTGGTGTAAAGGTCAAGATGTGCAAGATCATCTAATTAAACAGTCTAGCGAAGGAGATGAAAAGGTGATAGCGCTTTGGACAAAAATTGATGCTCAATTATGTAGCATCTTGTGGCTTTCTATTGATTCTAAGTTGATGCCTTTGTTTCGGCCATTCCAGACATGTTATTTGGTTTGGGCAAAGGCTCGTACGTTTACACTAATGATATACCTCGCTTCTATGATGTGATATCACGGATGACAAACTTAAAGAAGCAAGAATTAGATATGTCTACTTACTTGGGTTAGGTACAGGCAGTCATGGAGGAATTTGAGACATTGATGCCAGTTTCTGCTAGTGTGTCAAAACAACAAGAGCAGCGACAGAAAATGTTTCTAGTTCTTACACTCGCTGGACTTTCTCATGATCTTGATTCAGTACGAGACCAAATTTTGGCGAGTCCGACTGTCCCTATAGTTGATGAATTATTCTCTCGATTACTTTGCCTTGCTGCAACACCAAGTCACCCAGTGATTTTATCACAGATACTTGATTCCTCTGTTCTTGCATCCCAGACAGTGGATGTTCGGGCATCTCAAGCTATGGAGAATAGATGAGGAGGCGGTCGTTTTGGGAGATCTAGACCCAAGTGTTCTTATTGTCACAAACTTGGACACACTCGCAAAATGTGTTATTCCTTAAATGGCCGTCCACCCAAAAAAGCCTACGTTGCTCAGAGCGAGACTACAGGTAACCAGGGCTTTTCTGTATCTAAAGAAGAATATAATGAGCTCCTTCAGTATCGAGCAAGTAAGCAAACATCTCCACAAGTAGCCTCAGTTGCCCAGACTGACACTC